CACATGTGTAAGCCTTGCAACAAATCCAAGCCATTTCACCTCTATGGCATATGTTGCTCACACACATGTACTTGTGGACTAATCACATGTGTATCTCATATTAAACACAATTAGTCCACCTAGGTTGTCACTCAATTACCAAAACCAAACAAGGACCTTTCAATAGGTCATCATAATGGCAATTATGCATTGTGATATCAAATTGTATGGCCTAAAAAGCAGCAGTGTACTTCTCCACTGTACTAGTTTGTTTTAGTGACAACATGTAAGTGATGGCAGTCTTGAAATCATCAGCACCAAATTTGTTCTGCACCACTACACAGAATGTTGTCCAACTAGTTACTTGATGATTCTGTTTGTATGCCTGCCACTAGTTGGTTGCATTCTCTTCGAAATGCATAACAACTGCTTCTACTTTCAACTCCTCTGAGATACCATATATGTTGAAATAGTTGTTGCATTTGTCAATCCACACTTTGGGACAAGAGCCATCAAATTTGGGAAATTGCATCTTGGTAAAGCATGGTGAGGTAGGGCTTCCTTACTTGTTGAAGCATGATGTTGCCTTGGTGATCTGAATGGAGAAGGTCTTGTTGCTCTTTTACCTTTGGCAAACACATTCTGAAGTTCTGGTTCTTCTTCATAGAGCATTGAATCATGATCAGAAGAATCAGATGCTGCTTCTTTCTCCATCTGTCTCAATGTCAGGTCTGCTACTGCTTGACCAGTAGCCTTGATTTGCTGTACTATGAGTTTTTGCTCCTCCTTAGTGGCCTTGAACTCAGTTTTCAGATCCTGTTGAATCAAACTAATATCATTCATTTGGGCAAAGAGCAGGTCAAAACTTTCCATCACCTGATCCCAGCGATTCTTGTCATCATCACTTGTCTTCGACATTTGTTCTAGTATGAACTGTGTCTGAGTAGATGGTTTTGGTGGAGCCGTGTTGGCTGATGCGTGGATCGGAAAGACTGTCAAATTGACTCAAGTGGTGCTGCAAATAGGTTTGGAATGACCACCCCCATGGCCTTGCTGCACCCAATTCGCAGACTTCGCTTAGAAGTGATGCACAACCAAGGAATTTTACACAGAGACTATGCTCTGCAACCCGAGTATGTGGACACTTCCTCGCCTACGCCTCCACACGACAACCAATTGCACACAGACTATGAAATTTTACACGGAAACTTGTACCAAAACCCTCGCCTGTATCGATTGCCTGCTAGTGAATGAGTGGAGCAGAATGTATTGCTGCTCACCAGGTTCTCGCCATCGAACCACGGTTGTTGGTGTAGTCCCCTAGTCATTTGTCGAGCCCTAGATGTTGTGGATCTAGGTGCCAGGGTTGTGGTTTGGGTAGGGTGAATATGGTGGAGTTCAAGCTAGGGAGCGTCGATGCCGATGCTGACCTAGTTCAACCTAAGGAGGGACCTATGGGACCTCACGTCGAACACCACGAGGGCATGGACAGAGGTCACCTGCTGACCGAAATTATGAACTGAAGATCGAAGCACATGGAACCGGAATGTACCGAGGGCAAAGTTGAGCGCGGGTGTGGTGGGGTTGACGCAGGACCGCTGGATCCGACGCCAAGGTTGGTGGGGATGATAACGGCGGTGGCAGAGATGAAGTCCGAAGCAGCTGCGAGATGGGGATCGGGTGGGTGGGTTTGTTGCTGAGGATAGATGGTCTTTGATACCACTTGTAACTCCCCGTGGCCGCCGGTGATCACCGGCGACGTGAGATCGCACAATACGGTATCTAGGACGGAGAACGAGCAGAGGATAAGCCTCTTGCCGTGTTCGTGTTTTCTTGTCTGAATTGGAATAGTTCGATCCTGGTACAGGTAGCGTTTATTACATAGAAGGTTTCTGACCTGACGGCCCCACCTGTCATAGTCTCATATTACATCAATAGTAAATAGTGTCTTTCTTGCAAGGTAAACGTCTTTCCGATCTCCATCTTCTCACTCCTTGGGCACGGGTGTTACAAAGATCTATTGCTTTAATTTTTTAGAGCCTCCATTCCCCCTCTTCCCATTCGATCCTATCACTAACAGTAAATAACAATTAAAAGCATCTTCACCACACATCCTATCTAATCTTCTATACCTAAAAAAGGTAGTATTTTAAGAGTCTAATACTTATCTATTACCACTTAAAAAACGAGATGAGGTTTGGATTGCGCCCCCCAGGGTACGGTGTACGCTTGCCCACATGCAATCTGGATCGGTCTAAAAAAAACGCTTTGGCCTACCCACATGCAATTCGGATCGGTCTCCAAAACAACAACAAAAAAACGCTTTGGCTATAAAAAAATCGCCTCACCACAAATCCAGACATCAATCAATCAACAAACAAAAAACGCTTTGGCTATAAAAAAACGCCTCACGCCAAATCCAGACATCAACAAAGTGCAGGAAGTCAGACCTCATCAAGTCCAGGAACGACGTCATCTCTCAGGTAATTCTCATCTCTATTTTTCTTTTTAGGTGTACAAGATTAAACGCTGTTCGACCACCAATAAAAAAAACAGATTCAAAATTTATAATTTTTTATTTTGTTATTATCATTTTTTATGACTCTCTCCTTCTATTTTATAGTCACAATCTCTACTAATGGACGCAACAAACCAAATTAACAAAGTAAAATACTCGCATGTGTATATATATGTATTTCAAATATAACAAAAATATTTTGTTAACTACGTCCTTCTGTCTTCTTCTTTTACACCTAGAAAATTCATATGACTATCGTCTGGGTCGCCCCGCCCCCGCCCTATACGGCAAAAAAAAGATCAAAATAAAAACATATATGGCAAAAAAAAACCACCGTCCACGTTTCCGAAAAAATCAAATACGGCAAAAAAAACATTTCTGAAAAATTAAACATATACGGCAAAAAAACCCGTTTCCGAAATTAAGCAAACTCTTCCACATCAAAAAATCATATACGGCAAAAAAAAACCATTTCCGAAACAAACTCGTCCACATCCAAAATCATATAAATGACTGTGATGAAGATCAGGCACATATTCAAACAGAGGACACACATATTCATACATAGAAAATCTTTGCTGACACCGACAAAATAGATCATGCACATAGTCAAACAGAGGAATTTGGCAAAACCTTTGCTGAAGCATATCACGCACATGTTGAAAAAGAGGAATTCGACCACCAGACCCTCCCCCCTCTGGCGGCTCAAAGCCAGCTGCACAATCAAGTTCACATAAGATACATAAAAGCTATTATAGGGTACAAAGATATAGAAAGCGATTCCTACTCATAGCTCTCTAAATAATGATTTATAGAGTAAATTTTATAAAGACTCTAGGAGTGCTCTAATGCTTAGGTTTTACAGCACACTCAAAGATGCCATGAAAGATGATGGTTCTTTAGATTTAGTTTTTGATTTTTAAGAAATATAAATGATAAAGATAATGAAATTGGCTTTGTATTTTTCTATTTAATTACATTTGTAGTTTTTTAATATGTTCGTCTAAGCCGCAAGCCATATGTGTAGCCATAGAATTGCACAAAAAATCGTGAACACCGTGCGTTGCACGGTTATATATCTAGTAAGTATTAAGATATCTCTAAAAAAAACACCCTTTCTCTTAAACAAAGGAAACAACTCCCTCTCCCTTATTCCTAAAGGAATATAGTATATAAATTCTAGGTAATTTGCTACAACAGTGCTCTCTTACATCATGAATTGATTTTAAGGTACTCTCCTTAAACAACTTATAAGAGATTTGGTAGAGATGAAATTAGATAATTAACATAACCATTTACACGTTAATACATCTACACACAAAAACCATTAAAATAAATGTTTTCTAAAAAAAATCAAATCTAGAAATTCTAGTTAAATGTTAGTCGTCCCAATGATTTTTCTTAGATCCCTAACTTTTTAGAATAAAATTTATGCTAATACGAACATTGATTTTTTTAGTTTACCCAAAACTTTTAGTGAATTTAAATTTCAAATCATATTTTGGATTTATTTTAAATTTATGATAATAGTTCTAAATTTAGACTTGAAATTTACCTTTTTCTTGTTTACTTTGAATTTATTAGTATAATTAAACTTATCATTTTAATTTGGCCCGTAATAAACCTTAATAAAGTGTATAGTAGGAAGATTAGAAAAAATTTCAGGTAAGAGAAAAATAACTTTATGTCAAAATGGGCTAAAAACTCATATGTGCCTCCATAAAACTAGGCTGAAATAACATCCAATCAACTATCAGCATATAATATATTATCAGATAAATATCAGTATCCATTTTTCTATCCGATATAAGGCCCCGTTTGGCACAACTCAACTTCACCGGTGCTTCATGAGCAACTTTCTAGGTGAAGTTGAGTTGTTTTGGAAAAACTATTTAGCAAACAACTTCACCAATAGCTTCATGAATGACTCTGAGAGAGAAATAAGAGAAAGAGCCGTGAAAAGCTAGTTTTCCAGCTTCACCTCTCTCTATTTCTTTGTGAGAGCATTAAAAAAGGAGCTTCACCCCATGAATGTTTTGGAAAAGAGTGTTTCGCAAAAAAACAGCTCACAACAGTTCATGAAGCTGTTGGTGAAGCTGTGCCAAACAAGCCTAGATATCTAAAGCTCTATCCAGTATTAGAAAAAAGACTAGGACATCCGAATGTTCAATCCATTCAGTATCCAAGCCAATTCGGATGAACAAGTGATCCGAGGAATATCCATCCCTTATTTTGGGCAAGTGTGGAAAGCACAAAACATGCCATTAGTAGCTAATAATACTTGCTACTATAATGAGAAATGGAAGCTAACATTCCTTAATCCAAAAATGTAAGTGTAGAAGCAACAAAACCAGCATTTGGAGAAGCCTGAGCAAATTACAATCTTCAAGACAGGATTTCAAACTCCAAAACAGCACACAACTTGAAATAATTTAATCGGAGGGCATCATAATCTTCAATCCAGGATGTAAAACTCCAAAACATCACGCAGCTTGAAATCAGTTCATTGGAAAGCCTTTTCTGGACAACAGCCATCTATTTTGGAGTGATGAGGGAAGTCATACGTCATGTGTTCTGCTTTCAGACCAGCATTTCTCAATGTTTCGACAACCTCCTTATGGACAACTGCGTTTCCTTCCGGAGTCAGATGCAGGCCGTCACTGCAGGATCAAAACAGAATCATTTGACCATGGCACCAGGATAAAAAAAAAAAGCGAGTAACTAGTCCTGGATTTACAGCTACGTTGGAGGTTTAGCAAAAGTTTTCTAACTCCCAAGAGCCTTTTTATAAGTACAATAAATAGAAGTATCTTTAAACAAGAACAACAAAATCCAGGGATTGTAATTGCAGAAACTTGCATTGTCTTGAAAATAACCAAAAGTATAGGCTCACAAGAACAATGTTCTATTCTTGCAAGACCAAACAATCACTATTTTGCCAAACCAAAAAAAAAGTATAGTTGTTTGTCTCCTAAGACATCCTATCAGCCTGTAAAGCCAAACATTGTACAAGTCACCATGGGAAACCAAACAAACAAATAAATTAAAGATCTATAAAGCACGCGTTAGAAAAACAAAGCTAGATTTCATTAAAATAAAATCAGCATACTCTTATAGTAGAAAAACAACACAATATTGATAGACTCATTTTTCTTCCAAGACAGAAATATAACATAAACAAAACATTTATACTTTGGAATTTAATGAAGTATCCAATTAAGGAAAATGACTATGACCATGAAAACTGCAGTAAATTATATTTATTACACTTGCATATACAGTCGAGATATAAACACAGTAAATACCATATGTGCAACAAAAGCAAATGAAGTCTGGACATGAAGTATTACCTTAGGTAAAGTTTCTGCCATCCTTCTGTCTCCTGCATCTTTGACCAGATATTAATGCAGGGTATATGCATTTCTCTGGCTAGTTCAACGCAATAACCAGCATAGACCCCAGCCATTTCATTTGTCCTTTCAGGTAGCTTCCTGGCATCCTGTCCATAAAGTGACCTTTGGGGTAATCAGAATTGGTGTGGTCCATGTAATGCAGATGGTAAACTTTGTGGTAAATGAAACATATTGGTCCCTACATGGAGACATGACAAAAAGCAAAACCCAAATTTTTCATCATTACAGAGCAGGTAACCAAGAAATACAGGGGCACACTAAATGCTTAAAGCTCCCATACAAGGTCGGAGCTAACAGAATGGAACTGATAACCAAAAAAAAAAAAAAATTCACTTCAGTGTAAGTACACAGAAGTGCTACAAGCAAATAGAACTGCAGCCCAACTATTAGCTAAAAAGTAATCATTCAACATTTTTGAATCATAATCATAAAGTAAAAGCATCATGCATTTAATTGAGTTCAACAAGAGACATTATACCAACCGTGCAAATCTTTCCCTTCCTTCTTCATCAACTGGAGGTGGCGTAATAAGCACAATAACCATGGAACTAGAACAGTCCTGCATTGTGTTTACAGTAAAAAATAGATTGCACAATAAGTTTAAAGAATGTATCACCCCCCCAAAAAAAAAAAAAAGTTTAAAGAATGACAATTGTTCCAAAGTTCCCATTTACTAAACCAGTACCAGGATTGAAGACTTACCTTTCGATGATTGCATTTGAAACTAACTTTGACTAACTGTTAATCAGTTATAAGTCTTGGGTATTATTGTGGTATAGCGGTGAGACCCATGTTAGCAAAGCCGAAAATATTATTCTCAAGATTCAATCTAAATAAATAGAAGGGTCCACAATAGGAAATAAATAATACATTAGGCAATAGGAGCTTAAAGATGTGTGCAGTTTCACTTCCTTTTCACTGACTACATAGGCATGATTTATCCAACTTAAGCTATGCCCACTTAACAGAAACACTTTGTTCATGGTAGCAAATCTGTAGTCTTTCCTAATATACATGAGATTCACATAAGTTTATCACATCTCTGTTCATGGTAGCAAATCTGTAGTCTTTCCTAATATACATGAGATTCACATAAGTTTATCACATCTCTGTTCATGGTAGCAAATCTGTAGTCTTTCCTAATATACATGAGATTCACATAAGTTTATCACATCTTTGTTCATGGTAGAATGTAAGATTTTTTCAGACAACCAATTAAACGCGTTTGAGTCCCCATGATAGAGAAAAAAATGTTACCAGAATATCCAGCTAAAGTTAACTAATAAAGATTGTAAAGAAATTACCTTCAAATGATTAACAATCGTTTTGAGATTGTTTTTATACTCTGAAACTGGAACATGTTGTCGCTTGCTAGTTCTTCCTAAAAGGGCAGCATCATTTGCTCCAAAGAAAATAGTGGTTGCAAGAGGGGGTGCTAAACTATCCTACAAGGCATATGACGATTTGCTGCGTATCAATCTGTATGCCAACACACTGACTTTACAGCAATATGTGCACAAACACCACATTGGTATCGGCTGGATGGAACTGTCTTACCAGTGGAAAGATGTGATGTATTAAGAAAAGAGCCCATCTTGTGTTGTATCCACCATAGCCTCTGACAACTACATCAGCCTGGGACAAAAGGAACGGATAATCATGTATATTAGTAAGGAAAACTACGAAGGAAAATGGCAAAAAACCACCTAAAAATTAGGGGTGAGGGTTCAAACACCTATCTCCATCCCAATTTCATAGTCTAACATCTGTGAATCTATATATTTTCAATATTCAAATAGTCCCACCTCAAGGGTTTGGTAACAAGCTAGTATCTTAGAGTTCAGCATATTCATCGTCAAGACTGACCCATTTTCCTCGAGTTTGGAAAACATTGCTATCTTATATGATTTTCATACTCAGGCCAGGCGAGCCTTGGCACAAGTTATGTAATGGAGCACCTCTACCACCTCCTTGGCACATGGGACAAGCTGGGCACCGTTGGAGGCTACATGATAGATGCATTTGATAGGCACAAAGCGAAATCTGAAAACAAATAGAACTTGCAAGTGTTGGACAAGAGATACGGGTATTTGGAAAAGAAACCTTAACTTGCACATTGGTTTTTGCAACTTTCCCCAAACTAAAAAAGAATAAAATGTTTCACAAGATTTATGCAAGGCACAAATGCTGACAAGCACTGATTGTACACCCACAAAGCTTGGACTCGTAAATTGTGATCTAAGACTGCAATTCGCTGACCAAGCAATGCAATTACGTCCACAGGAGGTAAAACAAAACAATTCAACCTATCAGATATCAAAGAAGAGAAGGGGAGGGATGAATATACTTATATACCTTGCGCGAGTAGGTGTCAGCCAGTGCGGCACCCCAGCCACCGGGGCGGAAGGACTGCTCGGTGATGGAGTCACCGAAGAGGACCAGTCGCGGCCGCACCATTTTTTGCGATCCACCTGCCCGACAGTAGAATGGGAAGACTTCTTGGGGGTGTGCCAAACGCACGAGCGGCTCAAGAGAGGAAGATGGGAGGGGAATACAGCAGCACCTACCTGCAGCGCCAGCGTCGCAGACGGGAGGGTGGGTGGCGGCGGTAGTCGCGGGGCAGGAGCCGGGCGTCGTCATGGATGGGGCCGCGACACCGATACAATCAAGAGAGCAGCCCCTGAACCAAAACGGCCGGCGATAGGACCCCAAACGCGGTGTAGGAAGATCCCGATGGCTAAGCAGGGGTGAATCAGGCGAGATGAGCTGCCGAGGGCCGAGGGCGTGAGGCCGGCGGAGTGATCAGGGATCCAGCGGGCCGTCGGCGGCGGTGGGAACGAGTGGAAAGGGCGAGCGGAATCGCGGTGTTTCTCCGTCATTTTGAAATTTCGGTTATCAAAAACTTTGAAATTCGGTTTGAACCAACTTCAGCACAAGTTTACAAAGCCAAAAAATTACAAGATGAGCAGTTAACTTTGACAGCAACTAACTTGCAAACTAAAAGGCCTAAAACAGATCCAACGGTCACACAGTGTATCTGAATCTAGCTGAGAAAAAAGGAAAAATATCTGAATCTGGCACCCAGAACCTTGTATGCACAAACTACTCCTTTCGTTCCAAATTAAAAGTTACTTTAACTTTTCTTAGTACATAAAATTTGCTACCCATCTAGACATACGTTATATCCAGATGCATAGCAAAATGAATATACCAAAAAAATTGAAATAACTTATAATTTGGAATAAAAGGGAGTAGTGCTTTTTCCTAAATAATATTATTTCAATAAAAGATGCACATTGTCTAGTATTGGACTAGCCATAGATATTCTCAAATACACGTTGAATGCCAGAGTACTAGCCCTAGATCTTCACAAATGCACATTATCTGTGTTAGACATATTATGTTTTTATCTAGAAACCGAATTTCATTACGAATGTAACGAAATTACAAAGTTCCACAGCCTAACGAGAACGAAAGAAAAAGCGCCTAAAAGCATGAGAGAAATTTTACGGTATTTGAAAATAATATCAGCCATTGGTTCATCTAGATCTAATGGTTAAAAAGTAAAAGAAACCTATTAAGAGGAACTTAAATGGTGGATCGGTACTAAGCTTTTGTGTGCCAGGAACTAATCCCAAAACTTACTCAAGGGTGTATTGGTATTTTGACAAGCTATAGTAACGGGCGAGGATAACAACATGATGGAGGGAACAGGTTCTTCAGGCCAGCGGCTGCGCTGCGCTGCGCTTATGGATGAAAATGGTACGGATATTTATTCGATCGTCCGTTCGATCGAACAAATATGAACACTTATCTGGATAGTTACTCGAATATCCGTTTTTTTTCGGATACGAATACTAAAACGGATATCTTAGTCGGATATCAAATACGGATGTAATATCATCGATATCCGGCGGATATCGGATAATCCGGATAAGTATCGGATATATCCGGATATTTAAAAACGGATATTATCTGGATATTTATTCAAAATTTAAAAATCACAAATTTGAACCATCCAAACTATCTCAAATGGAAAGTTGACCAAAACAACAATTGTAGATCTTGATGAGTTGAACAAACTTGGTATTCAAAACTTTTCAATTTGAAGTCATTTAGAGTTCATAATACTATAGTCAAAGTGTTGTTTTTTCATTTGACCAAATTTGACTTGGTCAAACTTGCTCAAATGAGACACTAAATGACCTCAGATGAAAAAACTCTGAATACCAAGTTTGATCATCTCAGCAAGATCTACAATTGTTACATAGCTCATTTTCCCATTTGAGAAAATTTTATCAAACACTAGTCATAAATTCTTGAATCTCATATAGACTTTCTAAAACTATGTCACACACTTGTGAAATTTGAACTATATTTTATTCAAACTTTCTCAAATGAAAAAATGGCCTATATAAGGATTGTATATCTTGATGAGATGAACAAATTTGGTATTCAAAACTTTTCAATTTGAGACAATCTAGGGTTCCGAAAACTAGTTTGTAAACGTCGAAATTTAAAAATCACAAATTTGAACCGTCCGAACTATCTCAAATGAAAAGTTGAACAAAACAAAAATTGTAGATCTTGATGAGTTGAACAAACTTGGTATTCAAAACTTTTCAATTTGAAGTCATTTAGAGTTCATAATACTAGAGTCAAAGTGTTGTTTTTTCATTTGACCAAATTTGACTTGGTCAAACTTGCTCAAATGAGACACTAAATGACCTCAGATGAAAAAACTCTGAATACCAAGTTTGATCATCTCAGCAAGATATACAATTGTTACATAGCTCATTTTCCCATTTGAGAAAGTTTTATCAAACACTAGTCATAAATTCTTGAATCTCATATAGACTTTCTGAAACTATGTCACACACTTGTGAAATTTGAACTACATTTTGTTCAAACTTTCTCAAATGAAAAAATAGCCTATATAACATATAAGGATTGTAGATCTTGATGAGCTGAACAAACTTGGTATTCAAAACTTTTCAATTTGAGACAATCTAGGGTTCCGAAAACTAGTTTGTAAGCATCGAAATTTAAAAATCACAAATTTGAACCGTCCAAACTATCTCAAATGGAAAGTTGACCAAAATAAGAATTGTAGATCTTGATGAGTTGAACAAACTTGGTATTCAAAACTTTTCAATTTGAAGTCATTTAGAGTTCATAATACTAGAGTCAAAGTGTTGTTTTTTCATTTGACCAAATTTGACTTGGTCAAACTTGCTCAAATGAGACACTAAATGACCTCAGATGAAAAAACTCTGAATACCAAGTTTGATCATCTAAGCAATATATACAATTGTTACATAGCTCATTTTCCTATTTGAGAAAGTTTTATCAAACACTAGTCACAAATTCTTAAATCTCATACAGACTTTCTAAAACTATGTCACACACTTGTGAAATTTGAACTACATTTTGTTCAAACTTTCTCAAAATGAAAAAATGGTCTATATAAGGATTGTAGATCTTGAATCCATGACCATGACTCCATGAGACCCATGAAGCAATGTGCTTGGCTATTTCTACTCATGCCGCGAAGATTGGTGCTTATATGATGTTTGATGTATGATGTATCTGTATCTTTATCTTATTTGTTGCTTTACTCTTTAGTCTTTCGGCTTAATCTAGATGGATTATGGACTCATAGAGTGGTGTAATGGTTTGCGCACGTATGATATATATATATATATATATATATATATATATATATATATGCTGCTTTTACTCAATATCCGAATAGATATTTGTATCCGACCTTCTCCGAATCCGATTCATACCGTATTCGATACTCATTATTCGTATCCGTAACCGAGTCAATCCGTATTCATATATGTATCCGAACGCTATCCGTGTCCGAATCCGAATCCGAACAGAAATATGAAAACAAATATAATATGAGTGATATCCGTTCGTATCCGATCCGTTTTCATCCCTAGCTGCTATGCTGCCCTGCCCTGCTAGCATCGTTATCCACACCAGTTCTAGCACTAAGGCCCTGTTCGTTGGGAGGAATTTGGAGAAATATGAAGGAATCTGTGAGAGAGTGAATAGTGAAAACCAGCTATGTGCACAGTGAAATCCGGCTAGTTTTCTTACCAGCCGAACTGCCCCTAAAACGAAGAAGAGATTGAAGTTGGGGCCATACGATTGATGATGTGGAAGGTGAGGTAATTCCAGTGGGCAATGGCAAGCGGAACCACATCTTCCATCCAGATTGGTAGTTGTGGGTGGGATCATGTACAAAATGAAGGAGCAATAGCACAACGAACTCATGCGGATGGTCTGCGGCGGGCCTTGTAGGCGGCTGACAGGAGCCCTGGAGAGGCTGCCGTTGCGCCCTGCAGGTAAGGTAGGCGCTGGCACCGGCGAGGCCCTCCCCGACCTTGTTTCCGTGTGTGAAACTACAAGATGAGTTCATGGTTTTGTGCAACAGGAGAAATAATGACCACAACAAAATGACTAAAGTGCCCTTAATTACATTTAATTAATTCGTTTTACATCTGATGGTTGCAAGAATTTCAATGAAGCGGAACCGCCGGTTCTTGTCAAGCACCGTAACATATCTCAAAGCATAAACGCAGTCATGAACTTGGTAACCGAGGGACCAATTCATGATCGAAACCTCCTACCACCACCATAAAATGGCAACAGAAAAGCTATCAAAAAGACCCTGCAGACACATCCAAGCGTTCGATACAGGGCATGTGCCTGACTGGCACACAGGCCACAACCCAACTTGACACCAACCATTAGCCGACGTAAGGGATCATCTGGTGATCCTCTTGTGAGTGCCTCTCCATATCCTTCTTGTGGAAGCTTAGCGCCATCTTATTCACAATGTCCACGCCTTGAACCAGCTGCTTCTCCATGTCCACCTTTTGAAGTCCTACCCAATATGTGATGAAAGAACATCTCATACAAATTATCTCAGTAGGAGATTTCACTCTTTTGCTCTCGAAGCAATCAGAGTTCCAAATTCTCCAGCTAGCCCGACAAACAGCTGCTAGTCCCAAGGCATACACTTGTTTACCACATGGGAAACTGTTAGGGCCTGTTTGGTTCGTTGTCCAGTGTTTACACCAGAATTTGGAAGAAGGATTTCAGAGGCTTGAAAGCTCCCAGAATCATGTCAGCAAGGGATCAATTGCGTGTAGATCGAAACCAGCTGATTCGAATACGGCACTAGAATCGGCTTTCTTCAGATAGCGCCAGCAGATAACGACAGAAGCTATGATCGGCGCTAGGACGAGACATGCTGGACTCTACAAAAAGAGAAAGATTAGAGTCCAAGTTATCTTAAATTATGAATGTTTTGTTTTTATGCCAAAGATTGTAACAAATCGTGCTCGAGTAGGATTCATGTCTAGACTCCAGGTATAAATATTAAACCCTAGCTATTGTAAGAAACAACCAATCAATCAAATACAAAGTCAATTACTTTT